CCAGCCTCATCTCTTTAACTCAAGGCTCTGACAGTGAGCTGGCTAAACAACAACAGCTGGTCACAAGCTAACATTAGGCCAGTTAATGTCCAACTGTGTTACACCCACTTCAAAGAGCAGCTAATTGAGACTAACAGCAGCTAATGCGAAGCTAACAGCAGCATTTACTGAAAAGCTCAGAATAGCTGCAACACCTCAACTCCAGATCACATCAGTCAGAAGTAAGGTTCACTGACACCGGCACTGGATTCATTTGACAAAGTTTAAAGCCTCCTTCACAGTAAACAACATACTGACAGTTGAGGTAAACAGTGAACTGACAGCCTACGCTTACTGCAGACGAACAGTGATCGTTTGTCGTACACCTGGTAAAAAACAGAATTCAGTGATCTGCAATTTGGTGACATCTAACGATGAGATTAGGATTTAGTCCAGGTTTTACTCTTGGGCTGTGTTAGAGTATCTTTGCATGATTTAATTTGCCTTGAAGTTTAAACCGTAGGTGGGTGGGGCTTATGTGCGTGCCATGACAGTATCGAGGATATCCCGTCTTTGAAATCACACACATCCAAGAATAGAAAAAAACACTGCAAATGTGTTTTTATTAAGACCAGAATTTCCATTCATTTGACCGTAATGATTTCTCACCACATGCCCTCCCCTATCCTAATCCTGCATTGTTTCACAAGCTACCTACATATTAAGAACAACAAGTGCATAGCCACAAGACAGGACAGTCTGTTGCCTTGAGGACTCCCACATGTTGTAAATTACAAACCGCTTTTAACAACATCCAGGATAAACCTCTCTGCATGCGAGTGCACTAAAGCCCTAATGTGTTTGCATGTGTGCTGGGGAGTAGCAGCTTCTCTCAGTCACAGCGCTGCTCGTGGTGCTTGCGGCTCACCACATCCTCTTGTAGTTTTAGAAAATAAACACGTTGTCCTGACACGCTTAACCGCAAAGGCCCCCCTGAGAGTACACTCTGACCTTCTTCTGGGTTCTTTGTTATTAGGTGTACAAAGACACGTTTTCCACCACAGGGAACATGCTGTCAAGACAAATTCTGACGGAGTCTGAGCTGATGTTGTTGCTTTGTTGGTGGGATCATGCCAGTGTGTGTGGCGGAAAGACTTTCTTGGTAGAAAGGAAGAGGAGTGCAAAGTGAAAATATATACACATGTAAACAGATCCTGTGGTGTTTTTGTTGCACTGTGCTGAAGACTGAAGATAGAACAACAGTTAACTGAGACAATCAACGTTACATCTGATCTGGTGGTGTTTATATCCTTCTTGTGTAAGTGAGGACTGCATAGTGCTGCCGCTTCCTCTTTTTGTGCAATGAAAGCAGCAACTGTCACTATAAATAATACTGAAAAAACTGCTGCTTAAATAGGACAAATCTATGTGCTGATTTCCCAGTGAAACAAACTCACAGGACATAAATGTTTCAAGTTTTTCCTTTTATTCGTCATTAACAGCTGAGCAGATGCAAAGAAGCTATACTGAAACGGTTTGTGCATTGTATCTTACTAATTCACCAAAAGTCTAATGTTACCACGTTGCCTGTTTTAACATTATCATTAATGTTAAAGCTCTTATTGACTGAGCACTCGCTCATGAAGCCACAGGCAGGAACAGATCAGAGACAGTGCAGTCTCACCTCCACGTCCAGCCTTTCAGGGTGATCAGCAGTTCCAGAGTGAAGTAGTGAAGCGTGAGCAGAGGTTTCTTCCATAACACGAGGGCTTCGCGCTCATCCGCGTCCGTCTGTCTCCCGCCATCCGCAGGGAGCCCCGAGTCTTCTATCATTCAAGAACACACACAAACAAATGTGGGCGCGCAGGAGAACCATTTATATACTGGTTCACTTATAGTGTCATTAAGCATTTTTAGACTTTACCTCCCAGCTCCCCATTTTGCTGCTCCTTTACACCCAGTCGCCTCTGAAGCAGTTCACCTTCGGCCCCACACTTTGCCATCTCATTCATCTGGAAGGCGTCCTGCTGAGACAAGAGACGGGCATTGAGCGCAGCGTCGCGCATGCTGATCTGCTCGCCAGATCTGAAAGCGCTACTGGTCCCAAACAAACACAGACTCGCTTTCAATAACACGGAGAACCCCCGAATATTTTCCACTCTCAAGCATGTCTCCATACACACTTGCACACGGGGTAAACAGCTGCTGTTTTTGCTACTCCTGCATCCTGCAGAGCGCCGGTAACCCAGTCAGGCCTGTGCAGGACCTAATAAGTACCTTAATTAGCGCTGATACTGGGAGCGCATGCAAATCTTGTTCATTTTTCTGTGCAGACAACTTTTGAGAGGTTTCTCCCAATTATCTTCAATATGTTTAAATAATAGATTTAACGGTGTAAGACGGTGTTGTGCTTCATGCTTCCTCCCTTCGTTTGTTCACAGGAGATCCACGCACCTCCGTGCTCGTGCCTGCAAGCATGTAAGTGTGTCACTACAGAGCCTCGTGTCTCTCAGGAATCAGTGAGCATCAAGACGGGGACTCTGACACTGAGGTGTGCAGCTCACCATCTGCTGGAATTGCCAGTTCCTCTTGCAGACACACACATACTCTCAGAGCTTAATCCCTCTTTCTGTGCCCTAGCTGTGCACCTCTGGCTGTTTAAAATCTGCAAAAATAAAACTGCACAGCACATGCATCCCAGATGAATGTGAAGTACATAGTTTGTGAGACTTCCACTCAGTGCTTGCTGAAGGTTCAAGGACCTGAACACAAACGTATGTTCAGCATTGGAAACACGCTTCCTGATCGCTGAAACGGCTCACACTGGCAGCTGTGAATAGTTGTCAGGCTATTTTGTGCTACTGAGATGTTGCACACCAAAAAACGATGTCCTTCTTATACATAAAGAACTGCACATAGACTCAGTGGCAGATTTCAAACCTTCAGGACATGTGCTCATTAGAAGCGCTCACTCAATGCTGCAACAAATCATTTGCTCGTTTGCACATGAGAAAACAGAGCCTTGTCCAAGAACCAAGCTATTCATCATATCCTGTGAACAATCCCGACAATAGAAATCTGTGCCAAACCGGTCTGTTTGTGCAAAACATGAACTTTTGCTGCCACAGATGTGTGCTTTATTCTGCAGAACAGCTATTTTGTTCAGGAGTTAAACTGCAAACTGTGCGTCACAGCCAGCACCCAGTAAACAGTTTCATAACGACACTTCTGCTTATGTGAGGCTCATAGCACAGCGCTGCTCCAGCGCCTGATTGCGCAATCGCTTCTACCAAAACAACTCAGACCTGTTGAGTAACTGCGAGGGACAATGAGAAATCCAAGACAGAGCGCACACACTTCCAGATGAGAAATCCAATACGGCGTAATCGATTCACACTTTTGTTAGACACAAATGAGAGCTGCACACTGGAGACGGGTTATGGACTGAGTGCAAAACAAAAACAAAGGCCTTAAATATGACACCAAAGTCTGTTGTAGAAATGCATGATGCACAGAGAGGAAACTCACCGTTCAGCTGGAGTCTCGTCTGCAATCAGCTCTGAGCTTGTAGAAAACAAACCCTGCGGTGGAGCCCCAGTAGCAATGTAGGGCAAGAGCACGCGTCCCCACGAATTGCATCATAACTCGAGTGCAGGGTGTGGTGATGAAGGGGGCCAGTGAGGGATAGAGCAGTGATGCTGGGTTTCTTGGGGGGCACACACAAACACAGAAAGAGGGAGAGATTTCATCTTTTGCCTGGTCAAACCTCCAGAGAGGCAGTCTAATTAAGACTCTATAAATAAGTGGATCACTTTCCTGGAGCGCACTTCTAACACGTCTCAGTCCTCTGCAGGTTTCACATTGCGGATGCATGAACGGCATCGTGTCAAATCAGAAAAAAACAACTCCAAAACTAAGGACATTGCAGTTTTCAGGTCATTAGTAGAGCCCTCAGCTGTCCGCTGGCGTGTTTGAGTTCCTGTCTCATCTCATTTGCCAGAGTTAAAAGAAGAAGTTGTCCAGCGGCTCACTCTTCTCCCACAGGTGGAAGGTGTTTCTGCGAGGGCTCGAACACAGTCCGGGTTTACTGTCTCCTGGGATCTTGTTAAAAAAGCGCAATGATGGGAAGATTGCAGAGCAGGTGTCATTTACCACCCGACCGCACGACATGTGATGTTAAAATGACAAAGTACAGCCTCTGCCTGGACGTGGTAGCTCTGAGTTCAGTTATATTCATGTCAGAGGTCATTTAGTTCATATTTTAAAGAAGCACAAAAACATTATAATAGTTTCAAATGAAAAGTTTTTCCACAGAAATGTATTTGGAGATTTCATTTGTACACGTAGACCTCCGATCTTTGTTTCCTAATATGGAACATATTTGTGTTCTTCATTTGTCTTTGTGTTTAAATCACAATCTTCGAGATGAAATATTGTCTGTTTTACAAAGGTCTGATGGGAAATACAAGCAAAATATCGACCTGTAATACTGTGCTCCTTAGTACTCATCAAACCAGCTGGATGAAAGGCTTATAGTTACACAATCCTTCATAACACAACGCTGTCACGTCTCAGCTTGCAGTCTGATTTCAGTGATGTGGGCAAGTGGACCGGATGTAATCTGATTACTGTCAGATCATGTACAGCTGCTTGTAACAGAAACTAGCTGTTTTGTTCAATAGGGGGCAGTGTTACCTTGAAGTTTAAAAACCTCACTGGGCTTACTGGGGAAGTCCCAGGATTATGTTATGTCTGTATTCCCTGTGCGGCAGTTAATGTCACTTAGAAAGTGGGATGTACCGGTTTGATTAGCTCTCCGTGGGAAAGCAGAGACATGTTTGTTTGTTAAACTACATTTTAACCTGTTAAACCTCCAGCATGTTTAAAAAAGCTGATACCTGGAGATTCAGCAGGATGATGCAGGAGCTCTTCAGGAGTGATGGAGAGAAGCAGGAAAGCATGTGAGTGCTAAAACAGGGCTAAAATATTTGCACTTGTTTGACAGCATATAGCACCTGTTGGTATATCAGCTCGTGTCCTGGTGTGTGTGTGTAGTGAAGTGGAAGCGATCAGGAGAAGACTCTCCAATGCTGTAAGCAACTACAGAGAGGAGAAGGAGCTCTGCTGGAGGACGGGCCGATACCTGGAGAGAAGATAACAAAGGTAAAAAAGAGCTTGTTATTTTAAACCTTAGCAGCTAAACTAGACTTAATGGCAAAGAAGGGACTTTTATATGCGCACTGTTCATGGGCTGTAGTCTCACAAACTGGAATAACGCTGTGCACGTCACTCCTCTGTGGAACATTTCAAAATAAGTTATGGCACCGCTATGATGACATCGTCGATGATTGACTGTGTATCCAGGTCACAGCAACAGGTGGAAACAAAGAGAAAACTCTGGAAGCAGGAATATGAAAAAACATTAATAAGAGAAATGGTGAGAGGCATGCACAAGTGTGTCCTTTTTTGACTTCAGCCAAAAGACATCGGGACAGACGCTGTTTCACCTTAGAGTTCAGGCCTGCTCACGACCCTGTGACCAGCTGGCCACTGTTAAACGTCGCAGATTTCATTGATGTCAAAAGCAAATCACTGGTGTTGATTTCATGTCCTGATTGGAGGCAGAGAATCAGTGGCTGAGACACAAAAATGAACATCTGCCTGCTGAGGCGACGTCTGGGTCTCCAAGTATACTTGTTGTAACGATTTAACACCACATTTTGCCTCTAACGGCTGGAGTCGTGTAAAAGCTGAAAGAATTTCCAGCTAAGTCAGAAACAGTCATGCTCTGCTCCTCTTTCAGCTGTATTATCTCAGAGGGAAAGGTCAGAGAATGAGGTCAGCTATGCAGAAACTGAAGGTAATTTTGTTTCAAATTGCTTCTTTGACCAAATAGCACATTGATAGCTGTAGCAAAGATTTTCTGTGTCCTGTACCACAAACTGGAGGAGATAGTCTTACATAGTAAGGATGAAGAAACACTGAAGGTATGAACAGCTTCATCATTTTTCGGATGTCACGTCTGCTACGAGTCTTTTTGCTGTCAGAGACTTAAATATGAATAAAGTTTGCCGCCTGCGCTCAAAGGTTTCATCTTTTGTCTGCAGGATCTAAGAAAGGAGCAACGAGAGTTATAGAAGCAGCTGGATACCAGGCATGAAAATGAACCTCTGCAAGCAACGTGATCGTTTATGCTGGTTTAAAAAAGTCTCCGTTACTCAGTGACACCTTTAACCAGTAACTGACTACTCGCTGAAACTACTCGCAGCACGCTGCAGTCTTTGATGAGCAGATCTCAGTTTCTATATTACACTGACTTTTCTCCCATCTGTCCGTTCTTCACTGTCACAGAGCTGCACTGCGATTCCAAGAGGAGTCCAGGAGAAACACAAACTATGGTAAACATAGCACAGCGTCATTGTTTAGCATCTTTATGGAAAATGTATTTAAAAGCAGCTTCGCTGCTAGCTCTTCCTCGCCTTCCACTCTTTGGGAAGTGCTTCCTTGCGTTTGAGTGCGTCCACTTTAATGACTGTTTGCAAACAGAGGGGTTTACAGTCCTTAGTTTTGCAATAAAACTCACATTTTAACGGTAATGAATTAACATCTCATATCTGTGGGTCATGACTGGGACTATTTCATAACGAGACACTGAACATTCCTGCGCAACCATAACACGTATTGCCACAAGCTGCTGATTTTGTGCCTTTGTCTTTGCACAGATGCCACAAATAAGATACAACATCACAACATTTGGGCACAAAATGAAAAGACAGAGATGAGGTACTTAACCGCACATCACACTAAAACAGGTCCCTTGTGCTTTGCTGATTTGAGTATTGTGTGTTTGTGCTTAGTTGGTGGTGTAACTGTGTCAAGGTCGTGTGGGGAGTAAAGTTAGGAGGCTTCCTCCTCGGTGTGCTCGTTTCGGTGGCCTCTGTCTGCGTCACTCCGCCTCCAACCTGCGGGAATCCGACTGTGCAGCACACAGCGTCCATCCTGTTTGTTAACAACTAACTGGAATTCATATGAGTCTACACGCCACCTAACGCAGTAGCATTAACATCAGCCAGTAACGGGGCTCTCTCATCTGTGGCTCTCTTCGTGCAGCGCTGTGTCGTTGCTTTCAAGTTAAATAAAAGAGTAAAAAATTGGAAAACTTAGACTTTGAAGGTTTCATTTATTTATTTTGTAAAAGTATGTTGAACCTGAGCCTGTTGGGACACGCAGCACTGAGATCCTGATCAAGGAGGCTCCCCGGCTGTGTTTTCTCTATTACATGATGTTCGAATGATTTTTAAATGGCACTTTCATACTTTGAGTAATGTCTGTAATTTTGCAACAGTGCTAACCACCGTGCTGCCGTGTTCAGTTCAGTTTTATTTTATGGCACCACATCACAAAACTGTTTCCTCCAGGCGATTTATATTGTAATGTAAAGACCCTACGATGATACGGCGAACACAGAAAACAAAAAAACCCAACAATAAGATGACCCTCGAGTGTTACTCCAAACACTGAAAACCACTGGATTCCACTTGGCGACAACAGGAAGGAAATTTATTTGATGCAAAGGATGTTGAAGATGGAGCTGCCAGGCAGGCAGAAAGAGGAAGACCACAGAGAAAGCTCATGGATGAGGTAGAGGAGGACATGCAGAGGGCTGGTGTAAGACGGTTGGAGGGGTAGGGTGAGATAGAGGCAAAGGATCTACTATGGTGGCCCATAATGGGAGCAACTATAAAAAGAAGAAGACCCTCTCTCCTTAATAACATCCTAACTCTCCACCATTCAAACCATTTTAGGACACTCTTCCATATTTATATGGTCATGTATTTGTTCCATTGATATGCTAGCTTTCACAACACTGATTTGAACTAACGAGGCTTTAGACTGAAGCATTTATAGCTGCTTCAGTTCAGCTGAAATAAGACGTTATTTCTGAGGAACACATGAGAACATTTGGTGATTTCAGTCTTTAATAAAATATCAAATATTTACAAAGTATTATCTGTGACACACCCTTCAGATGGGTGAGTTTCATAGTGTGAATCAAAGACCTGTGCAAACTATCACAATGTTTTTGGTGATGACATAACAAATTGGATTTTTGCCACCACCTAAGTTATTCTGCACATTAAGCTCCTTTGTACGTCCATCGACATCTGCATACCTCACTTGTCTTCACTTACTTATTTTTGTACTTATTTATTTATCTTTCATTATTTTTATCATTATTTATCTTGTTCCTTCAACCTAACCTGGCATTTGTGTTTGGACAGCAGAGGAAGAATTTCATTGCACAGAGAAATGCTATTTCTTCTGTACACGTGACAATAAACACTTTGAATCTTTGAATCCTGAACCATTCGAACTATGTCATATTATTTCTTATATGGATCATCTAGCTTTGGGTGTCTCAGACATTATTAACATCATCATACTGTTGGGTAAATATCATATCCATTGTGCTAAATCGAGGAACTCGACGCCTTCTTTGTTTTATTAATGATTTAAAGTTATTTTTTTCTTTGCTTAAAAAGACTAAGAGCAAATATGCCAAAAATATTTATCAGGGCATTGCCCGTCTCCTGCTATTTTGACTTATCTTATTTTATTTTTTCATTGCTCTCCTTTATGCAAAATTTAAATGCCTGCCATGTGAATCTTTTCTGTTTTGTTTTTAAATTGTATTTTTTTCTATTATTCATAATTCCTCTAAGTCTATATTTCTTGTACTTTTGTCATTTGTATTGTTATCACTGTCATCGTCTTTGAGCGTTTGTATTTTCAATTGCTCAATAAATTAAAAAAACAAAACAAACAAAAGCTGTGCAAACGAAACCGCTTCCTGTTGGCTTAACGACGTCAGCAGATGTGTTTCTGAAGAACATGCACGCAGTTTGGTTTTTGTTTAATCGGTTTTCGTAATTTTTTCGGTTATTGATTAAAGAAAAAGCACAAGTTTACTTCAGGCTAGATAAGAAATACCTGGGGAAATGTTTGGTTACGGTAGTTAAAATAATAATTTTAATAAAAATTAGTAATAAATGAAATATAACAAGGAGATTGAATAGGTACAGTGTATAGTTTAAAAGAAATTACGATGGATAAAGCTGGTACATTTCATGCAACTTCGGAGCATCGTTAACAAAGACGAAACAGCTGTTGTGTGACGTCATCACAGAGCGACGGGAAGTGAGGCAGAAGACGCTTCTTCTTGCCGAGCACAGGTATGAAATGTGACCGGTGTGGTCCTGCCGTTTCCTCCTTTCTTCTACCGTGTGCGTCTGTTCGTGTCATTCTGAAGTCCTGCTTTTCAAACGTGTTTGTAACCTGGAGGCTCAAAGTCAGCGAGTGTAGCACGTGAACAGCACGTGAACAGCACGTGAACCAGTGAGAAAAACCCGCCTTCGAACCTCTTTGAAGCAAAGTTCCCGAATTACAGCGCAAAATGGAAATTTGAATATGGACATTTTTTATGCTAAAATGGGAAGACTTATTTATTCAGAGACCTCCTCTGGAGCAGTTACAGTGTATTTCCTGTGTGTGTGTGTGTGTGTGTGTGTGTGTGTGTAGCCCTAACCTGTTTCTGATTTTTCCAGGTTTAAAGTATGGACTTGTCGTATGGCCCCTTGGTCTTGGGTGTAGCAGCTGGCCTCGGCTGTGGGCTCCTTCTTGGTTGGCGCCTTGGGGCCCGCTTTGGCGCAACATCCAAAAGTCTGTTGAAAGGGAATGGCTCTGGAGAAGCAAGCGTGATGGGAGAAGGAGGCGAGTTCAAGATGATTCTGGTGGTCAGGAATGACCTAAAGATGGGCAAAGGGAAAGTTGCTGCCCAGTGTGCCCATGCTGCTGTGTCGGCTTACAAGCAGGTCCAACGCAGGAACCCTGAGCTGCTCAGACAGTGGGAATACTGTGGCCAGCCCAAAGTGGTGGTGAAGGCGCCTGACGAGGACACCCTGATTGACCTGCTAGGCCGCGCCAAGGAAATGGGACTTCCCGTTAGCTTGATCCAGGATGCAGGAAGGACACAGATCGCACCGGGCTCACGCACCGTGCTGGGCGTCGGCCCGGGCCTGGCCGATCTGATCGACAGTGTCACTGGAGACTTGAAGCTCTACTAGAGATCCAGCTTTCAGCTGAGCTACCAGGAGTTTTATTGCAGGGCTTAGTTCAGTAATGACACATTTGTACTTTTACTGTGATAGCTCAGTGACACGGAGCAGTTCTTCACATCAACGGGACGCTCAGAAATATGATGATTTAATAACCTTTGTCCAAATTATGTACTGCTAATGAGAAGATTGATTTGTAGGCACTCATACTGTGATGTTGCACTGAAGCAGCAGAGCAGCTTAAATGAATGTAACATCACAATGGTGCTGAGACTCAATGGCATTTATTTTTTCCTATAAAATAATGTTTTGGGGTTTTTTTTATGTGTAACTAGAAAACTAATTGATGGGGTGCTGATGAAAGCCACAGTTACAAAGCAGAGGTGGAGGTTTTACAGAACAGCAGGTCAGAAAATCACCTTATTTTTAACATGTTTAAAATGAGAAAAGCTTTTGTCTACACGTCAGTCATCATGAGCTGGTCAAATCCTCTAGAAGGTAAAGAAAGATGCGCTGACTAGAAAGGAGATGATGTCACGCTATTAGTGTTCGTAACGCTGCTGTATTAAAATCTGCTTCGTATGAAGCTGTTTCAGTGTGAAACACTTGAAATGTGAGTTTAGAAAAGTGACAAATAAAGACAATTGGATACATTCATGTAACTGAGTTTAAGGCTACAGATCAGAGCCATGTGTGTAAATACAACCAATGTTTCACTGTTGTGCTACGTATTTAAAAATTCCAGCCCTGATAACGTTTTGCGTCTGCCTGCCCACTTTTATGAAACACAGTAACATCTGCTGCCACATCATTAGGTAGTCTAACATGAGTGCAGTCATGTTGTCTGAGCACCGCGATTCTTTGCTTGACCTCGTGTTTTCTGGGTCGGGAAAAGACGTTCACGTTTTAATCATAAGCAATGTTTCTACACTGTAAAAAACGAAGGTGACACTTTATCATCCCACTACATCAAGGTCAGTTAAATGCAGAGCTCCACAAAATCCCCTTCAGCAGCCTACTTGTGCATGTTTCTGACTGAACTGCTGGACACACTCATTGCGTGACATCCAGACATAGCGTGGGATGACCTCACAGCCCGGTGCATCTGGCGTTCACCTGATAACAGGTCCTCCACTTTACAGATGACTGCAGGTTCACACTGAGCACCTGTTACAGACAAAGTCTGGAGATCTCATGGTGAACGGTTACGCCAGCAGCAATAATATCCAACATGACCCATTTGGCAGAAGGTCATTGATGGTCTGGAGAGGTTTATCCTTGGATGGCCAAACAGACCAGACTTGCTGGCCAGCGGTACCCTGACTGCTGTTAGCTACAGGCATGTACCTCTGAGACTGCCTGCCAGACCTTTAGATGGTGCAGTGGGATCCTGCTGGTATGGACAAAGCTCGGCCTCGCGGCCAGCGCGTTCCTCTGACATGAATCCAATTAAAACCTATGGAACATCGGCTATTTGTGCATCTGATGACAGCATAGAATTTCAAATTGAATGTTATTAATCGGGAGCGGATTTGTAATTTAAGTGGTCCCTTAGTATTTTTTAAGCAGTGCCGGTTTTAGTGTATAATAGCTGAAATGACTTGCATAGAGCTTTATTTTACTATAGCACCCCCTAGAGGCAAAACATGACAATATATTCGCAGCTGGGTGGCATATTGAACATTTATAGCAGTACAAACCGAGCACTTAGCCAGCCACAGAAAACGAAATGTCTCAAAACAAACAGAAGAACATTCAGGGTCGTCCAGTAACGTGCGCAACGTGTTCCTACACATCTCTTCAACAAAGGTTTCGAACTGCACCTGCATCACGTTTGGGACTTCAGATTTAGCAATCACTGATCGTTACTGTTGTAGTAGAGACAAAAATATATGTCACTCTGTTATCACCCCCATCAGAACTGTGGGAGTTTGTTACAGCACATGCAAGACACGGTCACACTTTTCTTGACAAACAAGAAGCCTTTATTTTATTTTTTAAGTGGAAAACAAAACCGCTGTTTCATTCATTATGATCCTGATTATGCACAATCAAGTATCTTAAGTGCACAATTTAAATCTAAGGTAATTGAGATAAGAATATAAGTTCAGAGAGTTAATGATTGATTTCCTGTATACACACACACAAGCCTTAAGAAAAAAAACCTTCACAATCCCACAAGTGTTGTGATATTGTTTCTGATTTAGAGGAGTTCAACTTAACATTCAATCTAATCAAACAGGAGAACAAAGTTTGAAAAATGTCTCCTGCAGAAACAAACCACAGCATAAAGGGAGGGGGGGGGGGTTGTTAGTCAAGCACAAACAGGTCTGCAGCCCCTCCTAAGGTGGAATCGTCCCACATTAAAGCCGTGTGTAAAGCACATAGACATGTCATCTGGAAGTAAATGTTTTTCTGCATAGGCTTTGCTGGAAAGAACCAAACTTTCCTGTAAATTGTACGTAAAATACTCTTCTGGGATTTTCTTCATCAAACCAGCCCTGAAGTTTGAGTTTGGGGCATTAATGGGACAGCGTAGTGTTTCAGGATTGTGGGGACGGAAGCAGCGGCCATGTGTCTGAATATACAATAATTAAATGCATTTTACAGTCTGAAAGAAGAAGCTGCTCACGCACATCAAAAGGAAGAGGTTCTACATTATTTCTTCTCACTACAGAGTGCAAACCAGATGCTTCACAACAGACCTTTGTGTGTTTGTGTGGTTTTTTTTTCTTTTTTTGGAGAAGACCAGCTCTTCCCACAAACCAACCCTCCCATTGTACATAAACCATTTCCCATTCAAATAAAATAAACATAAGAAAAATTAATGTAGTCAATACGGAATGTGAGGAAATTAAATCTGTGATTCAAACCTTTCGTTTGACAACAGAACAAAAACTGAGTCCTTCATGGCAGTTTAAGGGGGGTAAAGAAAGGTTTAAAAACAAAAGAAAGATGAAGACGAGTTTGTTGCTGTTCTCCTCTCCCTGTTGAAGGCAGAGCGAGAGGGTAATGGTGTGGTGAAGGACTGTGGGGGATGGATGGATGGAAGCTCCACCCTGTAAGTGGAGATAAGGAGCTGGGGTCTTTACATGCCATAGCCGAAGCCTGGCTGAGCTGCTGGTTGACCGTATCCTGCGGGCGCCTGGTAGCCGTAGCCATACGCTTGCTGAGGGGCCACAGGGACGCTTGGGCCTGCTGTCAGCATCAGCTGGGGTGTTCCTGCGAGCCGACACACAGAGGAAACTTTTCACACATGCACATTTGTTTTTGTTTCCTCGTTCAGATTTAAAAGCTTAGACTGGAAGCTGGTTTTGTTTTTATGTCATCAGAAGTATAACAACAAGTTAAAGCCAGGTTTTCAGGACCTTTCATGACTTAAAGAATTCACAGTGATTAAACCGAGTGACTACAGAAGACCCTGGAACCACAAAGTGAAAGACGAGAAAGCAAAGCGTTCTCCTGGATACTGATCACGATAAGTGGACGTTGATGTTACCGTAGACGATGGGTTGCGTCTCTGTTGCCTGCTCCTCCTCTTTCCTTACAGACTCTGAGGTTTCAAGTTTATCTACCTGCAAACAGAATACATGAATACATTTAGCAAAACGCTGAAACCCTTAAAAATGAAACTTACACGGTTCAAGGTCAGGAAAAAAAAAAAGTAGGGGTCAACACACGATCTCTTAACAATAACGGACTCTTGCAGCAGATGGTGCGAGCCCTCAGAGCCCCGAGCTCAACGATACGTGTCAATGTGGGATCACATGAACCCACAGAGGCAACTGAGAACTTCCAACTGCAATAAAAACGTTAATAAAGTGCCATATTTTGCATGATTTTAAAAATACAACCATTTATGACATCCTCAGTTACATTTAGTAGCAAAAGCAGTTGCCCTTTATTTCTTAATAGTCAACTAATGAAACGTGAATATCAGTAACGGCTTCTGCAGTCGAAAACAGCAGTCGTTGTTTTAACATCTTTTTTGGGCATAAATGCTGAGACTGGGGTTGCTATGATGGTCCAGTGTTTCCCTGCTTCTGCCTCACAGAGGCAGGAAATAAGTCTGTTCCTGTCAACCAGCAATATACATGAATACAAGTGAGAGCAGGAGGAACCTGTCTGAGCAGTGAGTCAGATAACTGCTAGCAGCAATATGCAGAATGGACTTCTACGGTCCAAAGGGGAAAGCAGCAGCAGCTGGATGCATGTTGTTTCTAAAACACAGCAATAAAGGCTTGCTCAGCAGTTTACTTCCACACCCCGTGTGCACATTCAGTTTGTCCATGCAGTGTAACAAACAGCAGCCCTTTAATTAAAAGCAGTGAGACCAAGCTGCTGAGTGTCTCATGCTGTATGTGTCACACTGCTGCAGCAGTAAGACGCAGCTTATTTAGAGGCGGAGCCAGGTTACTTCAGGTGCTTCCTATCGTTCAAAGCCTTGTGCATGAAGCCGGGCAAACCAACAGCCTGCAGGTTTGTATGAGCAAGACTTTGTTTTTGGTTAACACACATGCATCAAGTCCCAAGCATCAGAATGCAACACAAAAACCCAACAGTGTTACACAGCTGGAGGTAAATGCACTTTATAATTGTTGACGCGCCCAACTTCACAGGAATGCTTCAAATCACTGCGTCGACGCCACTGAACAACATACTGAATAATAAAACTTACATACTTACATGCTACGGCTATACCAAGTTTTGTATTACAGCCTATATGAATAGTTGCCCAACAATTACAAAACCAGTTTGACCGACTGATCAGTTTTTGAGTGCGCAAAGAGCATTAGAGCTAAAACCATGCACACTCCAGGCTGCAATCTCCTAAACTGAATGCTGATCAAACACAGAGCTTTAAACTGTCACCTGTTCCTTAACTGCATCAACCTGAAAGAGAAGAGGAGCAGCACAGAAGATGAACATTTAAAAAAAAACAAACTGGCAGAGGCGGCTGGAGATGCAAAGTAATCAGACAAAATTGTGCAAGTTTTATTTCACTGAGGATTCCTCGTGTGCCAACGTGTCCTCAGATCTTTTGAGTGACCATCTAACAGGAAACCTGAGAAGAGCCGACTCACCTTGCTGAGGTACTCCCTCATGACCTGAATGAAGTACGGCATAGAAAAGTCCATGATGTTGTGCCTCCAGGAGGTCTCCAGCACCACATCAGGTCGTAGCAGATCGTAGCAAGTGAACAGGCAGGCGGCAAAACACTCCTTCTTGTTCTCCTGCAGGAACCAGGACAGCAGCTCCTCTGCCAGCTCTGTGTCTTTGGATTCTGAAGCATACTGCATGGCATCCTGCAGAGCGAGAGGCAGCACACAGAGGGTCAGGAAGAGTGCAACACACCTGCTTACCTTAACCTGAGCACTCAAACGGAAGGGGCACCTTATAAAGCTTGTCCTTCTTGCAGAGCTCTACGCTCTGTTTCCAGCGGTTGTTGCCCTTAAACAGGTAGGCAGCGATTCTCCTGAACTCAATCAGCTCGTGCTTCTCCAAGCGCTGGGCCAGTGAGATGTTGTCAAAGTTATCGTAGGCATCTATTGATGTTCTCAGTGCCTAGCAGGAGTACGCAGAAAATGAAAGCGTGAGGTGGGTATTTTTGAAATAGCAGAACATTGAACTAAATCCACAGTTACTCACCTGATAGTCCTCCTCTGTGATGAAGAGGTTGTTAAGTGCTTCGTTGACCGATTTGTTGTTGTGGTTCTGTACTGACCGTAGGTACGGTTTGACCAGAGGCAGCTGTTTCACCTGTTAACACACAAGTGCGCTCAGTGCTCAGCCCAGTTTGAACCACAGAGGAAACCAGCCTGATGCATCTGAATCATTATGACATGGAACAACATGTACCTTGGTGAAGAAGTTGACGGCGCGTGAGTGGTCCAGTCTGGGGGAAAGCACTATAAGCAAATCGTTCAGTAACAATGGTTTGAACTCCAGATAGAACTGGATGGCTTTGTAATACAGCTCCACGTTGGCCACCTACAGCACACACAGAAGCAAAGAAATGATTTCGTGCTTCTAAACAAAT